CACTGACACACACACACTCCAGATGTGGGTAGATACGCTGACACACACACATACTCCAGGTTGTGGGGAGATACACTGACACACACACACTCCAGGTTGTGGGTAGATACGCTGACACACACACACTCCAGATGTGGGTAGATACGCTGACACACACACACTCTCCAGGTGTGGGTAGATACGCTGACACACACACACTCTCCAGGTGTGGGTAGATACACCGACACACACACTCCAGCATGGGGGTAGCTACACACATACACACAGACACACACAGTCCTCAGTACTGCCTCGTGATGTCAGCAATATGTAGGATCAAGGACCATGCCACGGGATGTAAAATCAGCAGACTGGCAGTTTGGACCAAATGATTTGAAAGCATCCATCACCAGCAATTGGTGGGGAAATCTAGGACCTCTTTTCCAGGGGGCTGAGTGGGCAGAGGGCAAAGTCAGCACTTGTCTGAGATTCATTTTCCTGCTTAGTGTTTGGGGCAGGGCAAGGACACTGAGCTCAGGTTTGCTGAGTCTCAGGGCAGGCATTAGGTGCTGGTGGACTCCCATGTTAATTAAGGCTCTGATTAGTAAGATTAAGGTTTTGGGTTCTGTTCTCTGTTCACTCCTTACATGTCCCCAGCGTGAGCAGAGGTGAAGAGAAACCCATGGGCTGGCTCTGCCCTTGTCAGCATCACAATTTTGAGTACATGCAAAATGCTGCAGACCACAGATTTATGCGATGTTAGAGCCAGAAGGGACTTTAATAGATCAATTCCTCTTAACTTCTGATGAAAACAGGCCCAGGTGTCATAGTTAAGTCTGTGCTGGAGACACCTTAGATCCCAGGCTTCTTAGCACCTAGACCAGCATCCTCACTGCTGCCACATCAGGATGCCCTTCCACCAACACAAAAGGAATTGTGGTCTGACTGTGCCGGCTCAAGCGTGATGTGGGAAGTGTACTTGGCAAGGGAGGGGTAGGAAACCAGGCAGGATAGTCATTTCTCTGTCTCTCAGCATCCTGAGCCCTGAACAGCGCTGGAGCCAAAATGGGGGTTGGCAAGAGGGGGTGGCCTTCACGAAGTGACAGGAGTAATAATCAGAGAACCTGGGGAGGGCTGGGACAAGGCCCTTTACCCATTCAGAAGTGAGTCCTGAGCTGGGAGCCCAATCATAACACCGTTGCCATAAATGAGCTGCAACAGGAAAGACCCTGACAATCATACCCATAAACCCATAAACCCCAGTGGGCCCACTGTAAATATAATGGGGTTGGCTTCAGAAGCAGCAGTGGCCTGAGGCCACTCCTGGGAGCCATAATGCGTGTTTGCCAACAGATGCAGGGCAGCCACAGTTCCACCGGGTGGAGTGGGCAGGGAGGTCCTGGGCATGGAAGGGCAGTGTCCTCCTTACAGCTCCATTTCCTCAGCATTCATTTCCCCACAGGAAGTGGGCACACAGGGAGAGGGCCACACACAAGGAGAAGGCACCTGGGCTGTGTGTGTGGAGGTGGGGGGTGGGGGGTGGTTAGGGGGGGTGTTGCTGAATAAAAGGAGCTGTTGCATATAGAACAACTGGTGTATCTGGCCCCCTCTCTCCATGAGGGCAGAAAGGAATATAATTTTCTGTAATGGCTCCCAGTAAGCCCTGCCTCCCTCACCACAAAATTTAAGGAGGTAACAAAATAAACTCCTCAGCAATCAAGGTAAACAATATTAAAAAAAAAAAAAAAAAAAAAAAGCCAATGCAAAAACAATTTCACACATAAAACAGAAAAATTTTAAGTAAAGCCAGAATCAGCTATAATTCAATACAAGCTGCACTGGAGCCTGAGACAAAAAAGGAAAAAAATCAGTAATACTGATCTTATTTGCATTGTTTTGATATTTTATTCTTTGTGAATTTTTAATTTTTTGCATTAGTTTTTAAAAGACATTGCATTAAAATATGATTTATCTAGATTACTGAGCTTTTTAGAACCTCCTGAAATTGAGCATTTGGGCGAGGGCTTCTCTCCTCACTTAGTCTCCAGGTGGTTCAGGAGGTAAAGGCCTACCAGTCATGGAAACATACTCACGAGGGCTCCCAGGGAGGCGTGTGCCTTGTAGCCTGGTTTGTCCCCATAGTGCTTAGAGCTGCAGTAGGTGGTGGTGATGAACCTAGGCTCTGGAGTTACACCACCCTGGGTTTAAATCCTGATCCCACCACTTCTTGCTGGGACCTCCAGCAAGCTGCCCATCCTCTCTAAACCTCAGTATGCTGTACCTGTACCCCCTGCCATCAACTCAAAGTGACCCTAAAGAATGGAACCGCCCTAGAGGCTTTCCAGGATTGTAAATAAATCTCTATAGAAATAGATTGCCACATCTTTCTCCCATGGAGTGATTACTGGGCTCAAATACAATTAGCAGTGGAGCACCTTATTGCTAGGTTGGGAGGTAATCTTATCATCAATTCCCTGGCCTTTGCATTAGCATGCCATGAAGAGATAGGTGTTAAGGAGTATACTGGGTATATGTGTGTGTGGGGGTGGGGGGGTGGGGGGGTTGTCTGGAATGTGGTGGTGCCCCATAGTTGGATCAATTAAACTGCTGTGGCAATGTTGGGGAAATGTAGCAATGGTGGTATGCACCTCAAAAAGAGGCTGAGGGCTTGACTTCCTGGAGGTGGGGAAGTTTGAACTGGGGCTTGAAAAGAAGGCTTTGGAGCAGTGGGGAGTGAACAGTGAGGGTGGAATTCTGGGCTAAAGGTGGAGAGGATGCAGAAGAGGGCAGTGGACATGGTCTGGGTAAAGGATTCCAAGTGTCAGGCTAAGCCATTGGAAGAACGATCAAAGCCTTCTAAGCCAAGGGGAAGAAAAGCACTGCACGCATTGATTCAACTGTTCATTCATTCATTCATTCATTCTACCATGTGCCAGATATCACACAGCGTGACATGGCTAGACAGCAGTGAAAGAAACAGACAAGACTTCCAGCCCTGAAGGAACTTACCTTTTAGGGTGGGAGGCAGACAGTACAGATAAGTGGGATACATACTATGTTAGATAAGGACACTTTTAAGAAGAAGAATAACGCAAGAGAGCAGGCTGGGGATGTCAGGAATGGTGGGAGAATGCTATGTTTCCAGAGGGTAGATTGGGTGCAAGGTGAAATAGCATCATGCTCTAGTCCTTATGAGGTCTTGGACATATGGAGAGCGGCTCAGCACCCTCACTTCGATGGGGCACTGACTTGGTGCCAGGCCTTAGGCAAACCCTGGACATGCATTATCTCAAGTCCTTCCCACAGCCTTAAACTGGGTACCACTATTTCCTCCACAAGAAACTACTGATGAGGAAAACCGAAGTCCTATAGTTCGGAAGTAGTA